CCCCCCCCTTTTTTTTTTTTTTTTCTATCTCCTGAACCCCCTCCTTCCCTGTAGTTGATATCTACCTCTGCAGAGAGCAACCAGATACCACAGATAGCTGGACAGGAGGATGAGAGGGCTGAGGTACAATGGGGTTTGCCTGTAACACTGTGGAATAGCTGAATTATGCACAGATAAATTACACAGAGCATCCCACACTGAGACCTCACTAAACTTTTCCTCACCCCACTACATAAAAATCAGACACTTCTATGAGTTCTCATTCGTGCCATTAGGAGTATTTCTTGCATCTTTCCACTAGGAACAGCAGAGGGTTTAGAGAGGCAGGAAGGTATCAAGATAAGTAAATATAAAGCAGTCATAAAATAACCTGGGTTAGCTTTTCTATGCACAAAAGAAATAGAAGAATTTATATGCTGATAGCTTGGCCCTCACATGATTAAAAGCATTAGGAAAATGGGAATCTCCCCTTCTTGGGGGTGCAAAGCTCTCTTTTCTTCAGGACTGCCGATAATGTATCCTCTCTTCCCCATACAAAGGGCTTATTGGCTCAGGACTCTATCTTCCCCTAGCCTGAGCCTGGGGGCAGGGTAATTTGGGATAGGGATAAGCACAGAAAAAGCCTTGGTCTAGTCATTTCAATGAGCCTCTGATTTACTGAGTGGGACTAGTAAATAGATGATGACGCTACAGAAATGGAAATTGGATGATGGACTTGTATATGTCTGGTGCTTGTGCAGCTTATCACGTGGATCTCATCCTTAACTTATTCTATAGTGCTAAATTGCACTTGTGATAATCTGTATTAATCACGTACCCTGGACCATCTAACCTGCAGCCTGCCTCTGAATTCCATACTCTATGCTCATCTCCCAAGCCCGATGCTATTGAAAATCCCTTGTCAGAAAGATGTCTCCTTATTTCCCCCACAAATTACACTGTTTGAGGCAATATTCAGCCTCATGCCAGTCACACTTTTACGTTTTCTATCTCATGACCATTCGAAGCTAGAAGTGGGATTTTTATACAATTTCAGAGAAGCTGCAAAATTTCCCTCTTTCCATTGACACTCAATGTTTGTTTTCACACTTGAGAGATCACAAGCTATTGGACCTTAAAATCTATATACCCCTCTGATGTTGCCATTTATTGGACTTCTCTCTAAACAGTTGTAGCTTTTTCATTTCAGGTGCCTACCTAATTTCTCCCTGTAGTTTCAGATTATTTTGTACTTCCTGTCTTAAATAGTGTTACTGGCCACTCTGGAACAACTGCTATAGTGCACTTCATATGTCTCCGTATTTCACAAGTGACTGAGAGCAAAAGTAAAAGATATTTGATACCCCTCCAGGATGGCAGGCACCACACAAATACAAGTCCTTGCTGTTAATTTTCAGTGTACAATATGTGCCTTGTTCCACTTAAAAGCAAATTGGAAAGCAGATTACATCAAGTAAACCAAAGAGAAGGTTAAAGGTTCTATCTAATGAGGTGACAGAAAGTTAGAATTCTTATCCCAGGATAACGATAGAGTGGGCTGTATTCTCAGGTGCCGTAGATCCTGACATCTCCACTGCCTTCGGTGGAGCTCACCAGCTGAGGGCATAAATCTACTCTCATGACACACACAGAGCACAAGCTCTGCTCTCTCTAGACCCGCTGATGATGGAGGCTTTAACCTCTCTGCACTGCTGAGGCTTGCTGCTCAGTCACATGCAACACTGAAAAGCCACATACACCCCTGGCAGCGATCTGACCAAGCCCGGGACAGGGCCCTTCAGAACGCAGCTGGGCTGAGGCTTGGAGCACAGATCCCAGAGTCGGGTCATGGGCTCTCTATTCTGAGCTCAGGCAGGGGTTTTAAAATCAAGGGTGTATTAAATGGGCAGGTCGTGGCTGCTGCCTGGTAAATTTAAAACACACACACACACTCCATTTACACAAGCAGATGTGTGGTGTGTGAAGTTTATCTTTCCTCCTTTAAAGCTTACCTACACCTCTTATTCTGATCTTGTGGAAAGCATTAAGCAGAATTGTTTACGTGACGATTAGTTTCTCAGAACTAAATCCCAGGTCTACATCCTTGTGCTCTGAGGAAGCTCAGATCCATGGCACTTTCATGTCCCAACCAGACTTGGACAAGCTGGCTCCAGCTAATCTCTAAATCAGCGGCCCTCAAATAAGGGACTACTGCTAAATTAACTAAAAAAGTTGAGTGCGCTGTCATTAGGCTAAAATCCACAATCAAAGGGTCCACACCTCCACTGCAGTTTTTTTTGGAGGGCTGAGAAGATGAACATGGATGCTCTAGGTCCTGGTGTTTGCAATTGCAGGGTAGGTGACCTGAATATGGGAACTAACAGGCTACAAATACTCTGGCAGTACAGTGCTGAGCTCAGGATAGAGATACTGCCGATAAACAAATTAACTAATTGCTTTAACTAGGCTGCCTCCAAGAATTTGTGACAAAAACTCCCTTGTTAACCACAACACACTGTGATAGCCTGAAGCTTGCCCTGCTCTCAGAGGATCTGGACCAGCCAAATACTCTCAGCCCAAGAAAGAGAATGGAAGTGGGTCACGTACCTGTGGAGAGAGGCCATTGCTGACAGGATTCATGTGGTTGGCAGGAGCTGCAGCATTCATGAAACTGTCCGAGTAGCTGGAGAAGCTGTGTCGGGCCCCGTAGGCAGAGCCGGTGTCAGCGGCGGCGGCTGCGGCGAGCCCTCCCTGGTGCATGGTGGATGGCGGCAGGGGCTGGGGTCTGTGTACAGTGCTTCCCCCATCTGTGGAGAGAGCGTTTAGAGGTAAATAGTTGTGGGGTGTTACAGCTGGGACTGGGCAAAGCGTGGATTGATGGTCCGGTTACCCTGAGCTCAGCTTCTGGGTCTCACCATCTCGGTGCTCCATGCAAACATGAGCCTATCATGTGACAGCTCATGCATGGTACAAAACATGCAAACCTGGGATGAAATATCGGACTTTTCTCTGAATTTTCCCCCAGACAAAATCCATAAATTCCTTTGTATGGGTCAAGGCTAAAACCAGCTGGAATTAGCAATACTCCCTCCACTATGGAGGGATCACCTGTGTGATACTCACTTTGGACTGATGTGCTTTCCATTTGAAAGCTGAGCAGAACTACAGCCATGAGACAAACTGACACAGCAGAAAGGACCATGAGACAGAGGAGAAAACTCTGGAATTTCCACTGACTGCCCTTCCCAGCTAAAGGAAAGCCAGCTCTGTACTACAAGAGCCTTAGTGTCATGAATCAGAAAGGGAAGGGACGATGGGATGATGTAGGGCAAGAGAAAAGGAGCAGTGCAGGAGCATGGGTGCTCACCTTGGGAAATGGTGGTTGTTGGGTAGGTGGAGTCCGGCAGCTGGTACGGGGGGAGGGTCGGCATTCCTGTCGGCGGGAAGCCCCCCGGCAGCAGGTGATTGAAAGCCGCAAGTTGGTTCGCTCCCGCCTGTTTGCGCCATCTCGCTCTTCGGTTGCTGAACCACACCTGATGGGAGAGCAAAGACCACGTGTGACTCTCTCTGAGCTGCTGTCCCATCTCACCTGGGTTGCTGAAGGAAACACATCCTGAATTACAGCACTTGCCAAAAATAGGTTCAGGTCACCGCCTGACTGAGACTTGGCGAATATTCATCTCCATTCCTCAGTTTCTTTTGTCCCACATGACGACATTACTACCGCCCTGTCTCCTAAGTGAAGATACATGCATTTAAAATTGTTAAAGATACTACTAAGAGCATGGGAGGGTGCTATCAGCAGTAGAGTGAGATGAGGATGAATAATTTATCTTGTGTATTCCGAGAGAGTCCATACGAAATAGATGCATTGCTACCACCTGGCCATTCTGCCTTGTTATCTGACAACTATGTGAATTATGCTGAAGGATTAAGTACCATAATAGCAACACGGCTGCACTGTTAGGAGGGATAAATAGACAGATTAGCATCATGGTTTCTATGTTAGACAAGCTAAATAGATAGAACCAGACCGGAGGGAATACAGGGTTTTCTTAGCTTCTCTGTACTGCAGCAAATCACTGTTGTCTGTATGCTAAGACATGCTCTCCTTGCAAGAGGCACTGCAGTGTGCACCAGAATTGTACTGCAGCCAATTTAAATCTCTGTGCATTAAAATAAACCCAGTATCAATGCACGTGCAAAGCTGGGCTCATGTTTCCTACAGTGCTAGTTTTACCTGTAAGACTCCAGGGGAGATTTTTCTAAATGCATTTGTCTGCCCTGATGTGTTTTATCATGGGCAATCTCCCTTCTGCATAGTGGAAAGGGCTTCTCAAGCTGTCTCTTGGGCTTGGTTTACTTCATTTAATCAGAGAGGCTCTCAGGCCCGATCCCTGTTTGGGGTTCAGAAGTATGCGGATAAGCTTTCAAGCCAGATGAGAATGCAGCTGCTGGACTTTGTGAGGCCTAAAGGGCTAGAAAACACGATTAAATTTCACAGCAACAAGAAAAAATGGAGCAAAAATCAAGAGTGTAAAGCATTTTGGGGGAAAAAAATCCTCCATCAGGCTTCCAAGCTGCTCAACTTCAGATCAGAAGCTGGGGTTACAAGGGTTTGAGGCACTGCAGTCTGAACTGTCCTTACATCTTGGGAACCAAACCAAAACTCCCCTCCCTAGATACAGCAGAACCTTCGTCCGATGCACCTCGCACTTCAGACGTGGTTCAACTCCCGAAGTGGGAATCTGTCTCTGGCCTTTAAACCGAGTCCCCCTGCGAATGGTGACTTGTTAGTTTGCCTTTTTCTTAGTGCCACCTGTGAGTGTGTATAATTCGCTCAGCATGACAAGGCGACGTGTTCTCACCGAGAGCTGCTTTATTTAATGGAGCGCCGGCTCTCAGTCCACACGCACTGCAGTGGTTCTCGCTGCAAACACAAGCGTACGCTGAGCTTCCCACACAAATTTCTGTGAGGTTGTCTGGATCACAGTCTATTATGGCTCTTTCTACATGCTACTCATCCACTAGTGTGCTGTGGAAAGAATTTGATCAAAACCTGCTACTGATAGCCGTGTGTGACCTGCTGGTGATGGCAAGGCAGGACCCAGTCCTGGGCAGTCCTTCACTTCACGCTGTTCTTTACATCCATGTACAACAAAAACAAAAAAAGCCCAGTTTTCTTTGGAAGAGTTGGTCTAAAGTAAACCCCCCTGAAATGTGTACAGTGCTGATGTCAGGTCCTTGGCACCAAACGCAGCTTTTTACGGACCTGTTCCTACTGCACTGCACTGCTGGCTGAAGCAGCATAACCTCTTAGCACCTTCCAAAAGCGTGACAGAAATAGGTCAGCTTACATCCGATCTGCATTGATCAACAAAGTCCATGCAGGTCAGAATCTCTGTGTCCATTTCTGGCACCAAAAGTTGCTAGCAAAATCTAGGACAGAGTTAAGGAGAGAGAAATGAATGAACATTAAGGTCTGTAGCACTTTACAACTCTTTTATACAGTCCAATCCGTGGCACAGTTTCTAGGAGCAGTGAGCAACACAAATGAATAAATTACCTTTTGTTTGCCCTGGTCATGCAAAAAGGACGGTCCTGTCCCTTTCTCATGCATGCGTCTATATGTGTAATTCATGCTTTAAATTAGGGATACGGAACTTGGCTCCTCCTCTCATAACATTTGCTTCCATTTTCACTGTTAAGGACGTAAAACCTGTCCGAATATTTCTGCGAGCTGAACATAAGGAGATAAATAAACCTTCTCTTTTCAGAGAAAAAGGCCTAGTCCCAGGCTGGAAGCGCTTCCACTCCAAAACCAAAAGATCTTGATGCTGAGAGTAGCATATAAAACTCAAATACCTGAAGAGAAAACATAACCAAGCAGCTATGAATCCAGGAATTGAGAAGAGAAATTGAACTCCAAGAATGTAAAAGCCACTCCAATGATTCCTGACACTTTTCTGACATCGCAAAGGGTGGGAAAGTTCCTTTTTTATAACCAAGAGCCAGATGCTGGCAAATCCACTCGGGATTAGAAATTCAGAAGAAACATGTGGAATGAGATGGTCTAGTACGGGACACGTTTCTCCAACAGCCCCACAAGTAGTCGGTTTCCCTGTGGTGGTTTGTCAGTTGGCTTGGCTAACATATGATCAAAACACAACTCTGCAAAGATTTGTGTTGTCTTGTGTTACACCACGTGAGGTTATTGTCCATGCACCAACACGCTTGGTTGCATCTGTTGTTCAGAATTAAAATTCACACGTGTGTCTGTGACTCCTCCCATCTTGCTTCTCCACATCCAGTTAAGGGTGTGTAGTTCCTTTTTTTTAAAGGAAGATAAAAGGATACTCTGGATCCTATTTTACAACCAGGTAGAGTTGACGAAAAAGGCCTGGGCAGGGGCCATTCTCAGGGTGTCCTGCATACTTCAGTCTACAATGTGCACGGGCGTGGAAGAAAGGAAAGCTAATTTACATGACTGGGCTATCACCAGAGAAAGAAAGTCAGTTCTTAATTATGTTACGGGCTCCTTCTGTGACTTTGGGAAAGCTGCTGCTTTTCTGATTCAAAGTCAGTGGAAACGTTGCTGCATCCAATAAATTTAGGTCCTTACACAACCCATACATCAGACCACCACCGCTAAATTAAGGATAAACCCCACATTTTATTGCATTTTAGTTTATTTCAGTGATCAGCCATCTGAGATAGAGGCTCTCTAACTGCCAGCAGGCACCGTAACCAGCGCAGCAAGATCTCTCTCTGGCTGGAGCATCATAGCAAAACAAATAATAAACAATAATAATAGTAAATACACATGCACCAAATGAGATTCACCACTACATGCTTAAGCGTAGTGCTTCCTCACAGAGCCTGGCTGGAGAATCCAGCCACAAATACACTGAAACCTTCCACAAAGAAATTGATAGGATTTATCTTCCCGTGCAGAGGAAGAGACATTTCATGGCCCAAACAGGTTGATTCTGCCCCTTATTTATAACCCACAGAAAAAAAGAAGATACATTCCAGCTAATGACGTTAGCAATTCTTTCCCTTCCCCCGCCTTAAAGGTGGCTTGGGTCTTTATGCTTATAAATCATTTTATTGGTAGTTAAAATATAGAGGCTAGAGCATCTAACCGTAATGCGAGGCGCACTTCAAAGGGAACCTGCTTTCATTTCACAACAGTTAAGGTTTTATCAGCCACTAAAGATTCCCCCTGCCAGAGGATCCTGTTACACCATGTTAAGCCTGGGGTGAAGGCTACGGCTGCTAAAACCAGACCGGTGGGAAGAAGAGGAGGAAGAGGAGGAAGTTTTGAAGCTGCTGGTCTGCCTGTGGAGATGTTCTAGGGGCTGCTGGGACTGGATTGCATGTCTAGAGTTTTATGTTGGGGAAAACATAGCACTTGGGAAAAGGGCTGTGGGAAGAACCCAACAGCAGAAAAAAAATGGCACGTCAGAAACCTGTCTTTTCTTAAAAAGATAAGTTCCTCATGATCATTTTTCTGTGCACAGCAAAAAGATCTGTGCAGTGTAAATGTGCTGCTTTCCAAGGGTATGGAAGTATAACATACACTGAAGACAACAGTTTGTACCTGTTAAAGACATCTGGGGCTTCTGTCCCTGCGAATCATCTTCCAAAGAATGGAAGATGCATTACAAAAACTGCTCAGCTCAACTGAGCAGATAAATACAGGAATGCCCTCATGGAAAATAACTTTAAAGAAGATATCCAAGCAGGTTCTTCATGCTCCAGCCATGCCCAGGGTCCAGGTAAGCCCAGTCCCTCACTGTGCCATGTGCACCTTGCTCAGTAGGCAAGTATGCTGCTACGAGGATCCTAGATGTTCATTGCTAGATGTTCACCACGGAATATCACTCAATCCGTTACCTTCCCCATCCCCTTCAGAGATGGGAGAGGAAGGCATGGTGAGACTGAGAAACCTCTCCAATTCATCACTGTCTGCCTCACAGAACCAGCTGACTTCAGAAGAGCCCATCCTCCTGGACAGACTGGGTTTAGGGCAAAGGTTAGACCTGGTTCTTATTTAACCTGGACGCCTGCACCCAACCCTGTCAACGGCCATCCCAGAATGTCCCAGCCACTCGTTCTCAACCAGCAAAGCACCAGAGAAGGGCTGCAGAGACAGCTGCCTGCCAGGATGGGGCTGGACTGAATTATCCCCGCAGCCACTGAGATATGGGTCAGCTCCCACAATTTGTCAGACAAGGAGAGGAAAGGAAGGTCAAAAAGAGCCTCCTGTGGGAAAGAAAGCCTGTTGTGTTTCTGCTCAGCCTAATCAGGACTTGATGTTGGAGAAAGATAGATGGGATAAATGAGCTCATAAATGGAAACGGATGGAAAAGCCAAGTTGTGCCTTTGCTCTCCAGCAGAATGGAAGAGATGCAACATGTGTTTGCTTTCACAGGCCCAAGAGGTTGCAGAAACCAGGTGGCAGAGAGTCATGTGGCCATTTATGGCCCAAGCACACCAAATACATTCCACCGAAGTCAGATGAAGTCCC